CCCGGGCTTATGCAGGGTTTATTTGAGCAGCTTTTGCTTTGCCAAATTGGGCACAGAGTGTGGCATGCAAGGTTTCAGTGCAGAAATGGCCAGGGTAGCAGATCTGGAGCAGACCCTTTCCATCGTGCAGACGGCACAGGAATGGACGCTTGGCAAAGGCCGGACGTGTGAAAGCGTAGCGGTAGATTTTTAAATCTGCGCTGCTGAGGCATGACGCAAGAGCAAGCGATGAGAATGCAGGAGATCAAAACGCTTCTCGAGCAGGCACAGGGGCGGTGTGTGCATGGACTGCCGGCAGCCGATGGCCTGCTGTCTTTGGAATCTTCCCGTTCATCCAGATTGCATCTTTGGACTGAGTTGGCACATTGCACACTTACCAGGCAAAGAAAGCACGAGAGGAGATGCAGCCTGTCTTATCAACTGTCTCGCTCTTCTCACCCTGCCTAAGCGTCAGTGCACAAGTGCAAAACAAGCATTGCGAGGCAGAATTTCTCCAGTGCCAGTCGCGCAGCTCTCTATGAGAAGCTGCGGACTTGCAAAGCCATGCTGCGACGAGAACGCCAGGAAAAGGTTGAGATGAAGGACCAGAGGGGCGGGGACGCTTAAATGATGCAGATGAATGGTCCATGTGCCTTGCTAGGCCCTTGCGCCTGACTTGCACTTGGTTCACTAACAGGAATAACATGTTTCAATCGAAACATAATTTGTATTATCGGAGGGCAAAAAAGTCTGACCAGGACCGGCTGATGCACGCCTTTGATCATGCTAGAGCCCATCGGGATGCATATAGAAGGCTCAAACAACAACGAGATGAAGAGAACGAGAGATGGCAACAAGCGATGAAGGAAACAAAAGAGCGGCACAGACTAGAGCTGCGCCGCTTACACGGTGACCCTGCAGCTATGCAGTCAGACCGCCAAGATCAGTTCAGCTTCTACGGCGAGCGGGTTCTTGATGACCTGATAACTCTGCAGCAGCATCTCAGAGGGGTGAAGGAGCGAACTGTGGACACAGTCGTTTTAGAGGGTGAGGAGTTTGAGGGCTCTGGCTTGCATTTCTTGCAAGACCCGTCTGATGGCGCCGAAGTCTTGGCCACCACGGACGCCTTTGGCTGAGAAGATCTAGCAAGTTTCCATCAAAACGGTAGCTATATCCATCGAATCTGAAGCATGGCCGATTTGTAAGCTTGTCAGGATGCAGGACAGCCTGAGAGAGAACAATCTATATATGTACGCTTGAGACGGCAACCTCCAAGTTTGTCTCACTTGACTCACTTGTCTCAATGTCTCAGTGGGACGGAAAAAAACAAAACGGGCTGTCTCCTTCATGGTGGAAAACAGAAAAAAATGGCTGGTTTTGTGTTTGTCTCACTTGTCTCACTTGTCTCACTTGTCTCACTTGTCTCACTTGTCTCACTTGTCTCACTTGTCTCACTTGTCTCACTTGTCTCACTTGTCTCAACGAAGGCTTTCATACCAAGATGGTCGGACGAAGTGTGCTCGAGCATCCAACATGTGACCTCTGTCAGCTGCCAGCTGAAAAGTCCGTTGCACATGATGACATGCATGCACTGGAAACAGCATTCTGTGCACAAAGTCACGTGTGACCATTCCACTCCATGTGGATCTACAAATTGCAGTAAAAGGATCCTTGTTACTTTTGGTCACTTGCCTTGGCCTGACGTTCCCCAAAACAAGTGAATTGCCTTTCACTCCTGGTGAGTAAATGATGGCAGCTGCCGTGGAAGCTTTCAACATCGCTCGACAGGTGGAAATGGCTGCTCAGTATGCCAACAACGAAATGAAGAGGCATCTTGGAGTTTCCGCTTCGCTCAGGGTCCAGATTCAGTATGGGTTGAGGTTGCGAAGTGACCATGATCAAGCCATCTCCAACCTAGCTGAGAACATGGGCAGGCACGCAGCACAAAACAGGGTCTCTGCGGCGAGTCACATGGAATGACTGCCTGAGGTGGAATGACACTGTGCGAGACCTTTCAAAAGAGTTTCACGACTTCCAAAAGGCGGCGTGGTTTTCTTTCTTTTTTGTTTGTTTTGATTCTTTCTTTTTGCTTTCTCTCTGTCTCTGAAGAGCGCGCCTGGAAGCTTTGTCATTTTGCCTGAGTGAATTTGGAATCGTTTCATCGCTTGAAATGCATTCCGCAGGTAATGAATGTCAATCAACAGCGACTCCAAAGCGCTGTCTGGGATGTTCAGGCTTTCACAAGTGGTTTTGCCCTTGCTTGGCACACGTTGCGTCAGGGGAAGCTCGGACAAGCCCTGACCTCTTCTTTGGCATGCTATTTTTGGATGGGAAGCGTTGCCTGTCCTGTGAGGGAGCCAGCCCGGTGGTTGGGCCTCAAGCCTGGCCCCCAGGGAAGGAACTTTTGATCCATAGAGCACGGCTGCGGCAAGGCTCAAGGCTCAAGGCTCTTTAGTCTCAGGTTACTCCTGCAACCTGCGCAGCTGGACACTTAATTTGTGCGGACTGAAAGAGTGCATAA